GTAAAGTTAGGTAAGATAGGTAAGATAGGTTAAGCAGGTTAAGTTAGGTAAGATAGGAAAGGTATGTAAGGTAAGGTAACATAGGTAAAGTTAGGTAAGATAGGTAAGATAGGTTAAACAGGTTAAGTTAGGTAAGATAGGAAAGGTATGTAAGGTAAGGTAACATAGGTAAAGTTAGGTAAGATAGGTAAGATAGGTTAAGCAGGTAAAGTTAGGAAAGGTAGGTAAGGTAAGGTAACATAGGTAGAGTTAGGTTAGGTTAGGTAAGATAGGTAAGGTAAGGTAATATAGGTAAAGTTAGGTTATGCAGATTAAGTTAGGTAAGATAGGTAAAGTCAGGTAAGATAGGTAAGGTAAGGTAAGTTATGTTAGGATAGGTAAAGTTAGGTTTAGGAACGTTACGTTAACTAAGTAACATTGGGTGGAGAGGATAGGTTACGTAGGTTTGAACAGTGTAGTTCAGAGAACAGTTTTAGGGTAAAGCAACTAAGAAAATATGTTTTAACAGAAATGCAGGTTTGGTATGAAAAGCTGAACTAGTTACATTTTGGAGAGACAATTTTATGACTGAAGATGTCTTAAAAAATAACATGATGGAAGAAGGAGAGTTTCTTTGATGAACCAAGGTGACTTAGAGATCAACTTTGGGAGAACGAAGGTGAATTAGAACTTTGATGACTCTGAGAATAACACTTTGATGACTCTGAGAATAACTTTTATGTCTTAGAGAACAAGTTTGATGAGCAAGATTAACTTTAGATGTCTCTGAGAATAACTTTTATAACATAGAAATTAACTTTAGATGTCTCTGAAAATATCTTTGATGACTTCGAGAATAACATTTGATGACTCTGAGAACAAGTTTGATAGCTCTGAGAATAACTTTAGATGTCTCTGAAAATATCTTTGATGAAAGAAGATGTCTTAGATTAACTTTTGATGACTTTGAAAATAAGTTTGATGAACAAAGATGTTTTGAAAGATTCTCTGATGAACGAAAGGTTACTTAGAGAATAGCATTTTGATGACTGAGATTAACTTTTTGATGACTCTGAGAATAACTTTGTTGTCTTAGAGAATAACTTTGAGGGCTTAGAGAATGTCTTTAGATGACTTTGAGAATGTCTTTGGATAACTCTGAGATTAACTTTGATGTCTTTGAAACAACATTGATGAATTGGAGAATGTCTTTGAGAACATGAGTAGTATTTTGTTAGCTCAGAGAATAACTTTTGATGACATAGAGAATAACTTTTATGTCTTCGAGAAGAACATTGATGGCTTAGAGAGAATATCTTTGATGAAAGATGATGTCTTGGATTAACTTTGACGTCTCTTGGAATAACTTTGATGACTGAGAATAACTTTTGATAGCTCTTAGAGAATAACTTTTATGAACGGAGATGTTTGAGATTAACTTTGATAGCTCAGAATAACTTTTGTGGACATGAGAATATCTTTGGATAACTCTGAGATTAACTTTGATGTCTTTGAAACAACTTTGATGTACGAGAGTGAGTTAGAGATTACCTTTGTTAACTCTGAGATTAACTTTGATGAACGAGAAAATACTTTTTGATGACATCGAGAATAATTTGATAGCTCTGAGAATGACTTTTATGCCTCTGAGAATAACTTTGAGGATGCAAGTAAATTTTGAGTGTTTGAGAGTGTCTTTGATATCTCGAAGAGTCCCATTGAAGTCTTAAAGGATGTCTTTGATGTCTCAAAGGATGTCTTTGAGTGCAACTTTGATGTCTTTGAGTAAGTCCTTGATGTCTCGAAGAGTGTCTTTGACTATATTTCTTACTTAACGACATATAATTTTAGTTAGGAACAACGATGAATATGACTATTCTAGCGAAGTGAAAGGTTACTTTAGTTAAGAACAGTGTTGGAAAGAGGCTACACATGACTATTTCAGATGAGAGAAGTGATATTTCAGTTAAGAAATGACAAGGAAACATGATGAAGTAACTATTTTTTAGTTGACTGATGAATACTTTAGTTAAGGAAAAGATAAAACATGACGAGGGAGACTATTTTTGTGCTCCCCAAAGTATAATGTCAGTTAAGAACAGCGATGAAAGATATCTTTGGTTATTTTTTCTTACTTGACAAAACATAATTTTAGTTAAGCAAAAAGACAAAAACATGATGAACATGGCTTTTTCTGTTGATTGATGGATAATTTTAGTTATGAAATGACAATGAAACATGAAGAACACGGTTATTTTCTGATGACTGGGGAATAAGTTTAGTTAAGAAATGATGAAAGTTATTATTTTTAGTTGATTGACGATGGATAAAAGCTAGTTATGAACAGTTTTGGAAAGTTTCCTTTGACAATTTTTTTTCTTGATGAAACATAGCGGCTGTTAAGAAAGTGATGAACGAGGCTATTTCTGACTATTTTTTAGTTGACTGGATAATAAGTTTAGTTGAGAAATGACGAAAGTGACTATGTTTTAGTTGATTGGATGGAAAGATTTTTTTAGTTATGAAATGACAATGAAACATGAAGAACACGGTTATTTTCTGATGACTAGGGAATAAGTTTAGTTATGAACAGTGTTGGAAAGATTCCTTTGACAATTTTTGGTTGATTGGATAATAAGTTAGTTGAGAAATGAGGAAAGTGACTATGTTTCAGTTGATTGGCGAAAGATTTTTAGTTAAGAAGTTACAAGAAAGGTTTGTCTTTTGTAAATTTGGACCTGAATAAAGTGTAGACTTGTTTAAGAACATGGCTGGTAGAACTATTAAGTTGACTACGAGAATTACTTTGACATAGTTTTTGCAAATAAAAACTTGGTGACTAAAATTGTTGAGGAAACTGTATTGCTGATGCTAATATTTGACAAAGAACTAGTTAGTGAATGGAAGAAACAAAGAACATAAAAAAAATTGAGGTTAAGTAAGGGAATGAACACAGTGAACATACGGTGAACACAGAAAACATGTAAGAAAAAGTTGATGAATAGAGTGAACAAGCAGGGAATATGAACTTATAGAGAATATGAAGACATGATAAGGAACATAGGGAATACAAAGAATGAACACTGAACGTGTGAAGAACAAGCTAGAACATTGAGAACATGAATATTGAGTATAAAAGTTATACAGAGAACATATGATGTACATAGAAAATATGACTAGAATTTGTAGAGAACATAATGAGACTAAGAGAAAGATTACAGAAAAAAATGGAAAAAACAGGTGAAAAGAATTGAACTGAGCATGCTGTGAACATTTGTAGAACATGGAATGAACACAGAAAACATGGACAAAATGTGAAGAACGCAGCTGAATATCGAGAAAATATGCAAATACAGGGGGACAAGAGCTGGAGCTCTGTAACTGACTTGATCTTATTTACTACGTCTGAAATATGACTGTTTAAAATTTCAGGGGGATTGGACTGCTAGTAGCGAAAATGTGGTCTCTGCCAAATTTGGGTCTTTAATTAGACTCTGATTAATTTCGATCATGAACTGGACTCTGAATATTTTGGCACAAAGTAGACTCTGGCGAATTTTGCTAGAAAACTGGACTCTGATGAATTTCGATCAAGAACTGGACTCTGTCACATTTTCACAGATTACAGGACACTGATGGAATTTGCTCTCAAAGTAGACTCTGGCGAATTTCTGTTGATAATTGGACTCTGATGAAATATGAGCTTAAAACTGTCTCTGACTAATTTTGCTCTCAAAGTAGACTCTGGCGAATTTGAGCATAAACTGGACTCTGCCGAAAATTGGGTATAAAATGAGCTCTGTCAAGTTTTAACAGATTACAGGACACTGATGAAATTTGCTCTCAAAGTAGACTCTGGCGAATTTCTGTTGATAATTGGACTCTGATGAAATATGAGCTGAATACTGTCTCTGACTAATTTTGCTCTCAAAGTAGACTCTGTTCATTTTTAGGTATAAAATGGTCTCTGATGAAATATGAGCTAAATACTGTCTCTGACTAATTTTGCTGACAAAGTGGACTCTGTTCATTTTTAGGTATAAAATGGTCTCTGATGAAATATGAGCTAAAACTGTCTCTGACTAATTTTGATCTCAAAGTAGACTCTGGCGAATTTGAGCATAAACTGGACTCTGATGAAATATGAGCTTAAAACTGTCTCTGACTAATTTTGCTCTCAAAGTAGACTCTGGCGAATTTCGGTATAAACCGGTCTCTGATGAAATATGAGCTTAAAACTGGGCTCTGTTCAATTTTGGTCTTTACAGGTGAAATAGCCGTAAATGGATATAAAACTAAATGTTATGGATAAGTGGTCTGTTTTCCTTAACAAAACATCTAAGACAATATTCTCTGAAAATGGTCCTTTTACAAATTCGGTCATAAACATATAAATAAACTTCTATGATTATTTGAAACTCTGAAAATAGTTGTAAGGAAATAGGAGGAGAGAGAGAGAGAGAGGAGGGACGGTAGAGATATTATGGAGATAAGATATGATAAGAGCCGTCTGGCTGTCTGGGGCGTAAAGTAAATAAAGGTGACGCGACAGATTGCGAGGTAAGGGGGGAGGGAGGGGGGTGTGATGTACGAAACCCTGAAAACAATGACTTACACAGGTGATTTTCTAAATTTATATGAATAACTAAGGCTTACATAGACGATTTGTAAGTTGAAAACATGTAAAACATGTCCGTAGAGTTCTCCTGGAAGCCCTAAAGAGCTACATACGTTATTTGAATTTCTCCCATAAGGCCTTAACAAACTTCTAAGTCTCGGAAATTATTTTTCTCATAAGAAATCCATACTTCTAAAATCTGTGACTGCCCAAATTCGCCTGAAAAACCCTGGCTCACAAACACGAATTTCTAAATTTACCTGAAACCCTCATGCTTACTGTCACAGGAAAAAATTACTACAAATCTTCTATATTTTATGAAAGTCTGACATTAATATGAGAAAAAATGGGATGTCTTAAATAATTCCCGGAGAAACTTCGCTTCAAATTCCACCGAAAATTCCTATGAAACCTGACTTGCTGAGATGTTTATGGCTTCCGTTGTCTTCCGCGTCTCCTCAGCCCTCTCCTCAAGTCTCTCCTCAGTCCTCTCCTCAGTCCTCTCCACAGCCCCCTCCTCAGTCCTCTCCTCAGCCCTCTCCTCAGCTCTCTCCTCAGTCCTCTCCTCAGCCCTCTCCAAAGCCCCCTCCTCAGCCCTCTCCTCAGCCCTCTCCTCAGCTCTCTCCTCAGTCCTCTCCTCAGCCCTCTCCACAGCCCCCTCCTCAGCCCTCTCCTCAGCCCTCTCCTCAGCTCTCTCCTCAGTCCTCTCCTCAGCCCTCTCCTCAGCCCTCTCCTCAGTCCTCTCCTCAGCCCTCTCAGCTCTCCCTTCAACACTCTCCTCAGCCCTCTCCTCAGTTCTCTCCTCAGCCCTCTCCTCAGCCCTCTCCTCAGCCCTCTCCTCAACACTCTCCTCAGCCCTCTCCTCAGCCCTCTCCTCAACACTCTCCTCAGCCCTCTCCTCAACACTCTCCTCAGCCCTCTCCTCAACACTCTCCTCAGCCTTCTCCTCAACACTCTCCTCAGCCCTCTCCTCAGCACTCTTCTCAGCCCTCTCCTCAGCCCTCTCCTCAGCCCTCTCCTCAACACTCTCCTCAGCCCTCTCCTCAACACTCTCCTCAGCCCTCTTCTCAACACCCTCCTCAGCCCTCTCCTCAGCCCTCTCCTCAACACTCTCCTCAACACTCTCCTCAGCCCTCTCCTCAGCCCTCTTCTCAACACTCTCCTCAACACTCTCCTCAACACTCTCCTCAACACTCTCCTCAACACTCTCCTCAACACTCTCCTCAACACTCTCCTCAACACTCTCCTCAACACTCTCCTCAGCTCTCTCCTCAGCCCTCTCCTCAACACTCTCCTCAACACTCTCCTCAACACTCTCATCAACACTCTCATCAACACTCTCCTCAACACTCTCCTCAACACTCTCCTCAACACTCTCCTCAACACTCTCCTCAACACTCTCCTCAGCTCTCTCCTCAGCCCTCTCCTCAACACTCTCCTCAACACTCTCCTCAACACTCTCATCAACACTCTCATCAACACTCTCCTCAACACTCTCCTCAACACTCTCCTCAACACTCTCCTCAACACTCTCCTCAGCCCTCTCCTCAACACTCTCCTCAGCCCTCTCCTCAACACTCTCCTCAACACTCTCCTCAGCCCTCTTCTGAACACCCTCCTCAGCCCTCTCCTCAACACTCTCCTCCCTCTCCTCAGCCTTCTCCTTAACACTCTCCTCAACACTCTCCTCAGCCCTCTCCTCAGCCCTCTCCTCAACACTCTCCTCAGCCCTCTCCTCAACACTCTCCTCAACACTCTCCTCAACACTCTCCACAGCCCTCTCCTCAGCCCTCTCCTCAACACTCTCCTCAACACTCTCCTCTGCCCTCTCCTCAGCCCTCTCCTCAACACTCTCCTCAACCATCTCCTCAGCCCTCTCCTCAGCCCTCTCCTCAACACTCTCCTCAACACTCTCCTCAGCCCTCTCCTCAACACTCTCCTCAACACTCTCTTCAGCCCTCTCCTGAACACTCTCCTCAACACTCTCCTCAGCCCTCTCCTCAGCCCTCTCCTCAACACTCTCCTCAGCCCTCTCCTCAACACTCTCCTCAACACTCTCCTCAGCCCTCTCCTCAGCTCTCTCCTCAGCCCTCTCCTCCACATTTGTATTCTCGTCTCCTCTCCATACGCCCTCTATATTCATGGCGTTCTTAATTTTCTCTCTACCTCCAGTTACCCATCTTTATTGCTGTTTATCGCATCATTATATGTCATCTCATCTGTCTGTCTGTCTCTCATCTGTCTGCAATCTGTCTGTCTGCCATCTGTCATCTGTCTGCCATCTGTCATCTGTCTGCCATCTGTCTCGAAAATGCAGCGTGTCTTGTCTGGCAGAATTCGTCTGTCTATGTCTGTCTAGGAAGTAAATGTTGGAATTATCGATTATAATTCTCTTGGTGTAGCTGTTGTGTTGGTAACACTGTGAGGCACAGTTTACCTGCTGCAGCTGTTGTGTTGGTAACACTGTGAGGCACAGTTTACCTGCTGCAGCTGTTGTGTTGGTACCACTGTGAGGCACAGTTTACCTGCTGCAGCTGTTGTGTTGGTAACACTGTGAGGCACAGTTTACCTGCTGCAGCTGTTGTGTTGGTAACACTGTGAGGCACAGTTTACCTGCTGCAGCTGTTGTGTTGGTACCACTGTGAGGCACAGTTTACCTGCTGCAGCTGTTGTGTTGGTAACACTGTGAGGCACAGTTTACCTGCTGCAGCTGTTGTGTTGGTAACACTGTGAGGCACAGTTTACCTGCTGCAGCTGTTGTGTTGGTAACACTGTGAGGCACAGTTTACCTGCTGCAGCTGTTGTGTTGGTAACACTGTGAGGCACAGTTTACCTGCTGTAGCTGTTGTGTTGGTAACACTGTGAGGCACAGTTTACCTGCTGTAGCTGTTGTGTTGGTAACACTGTGAGGCACAGTTTACCTGCTGTAGCTGTTGTGTTGGTAACACTGTGAGGCACAGTTTACCTGCTGCAGCTGTTGTGTTGGTAACACTGTGAGGCACAGTTTACCTGCTGCAGCTGTTGTGTTGGTAACACTAGAGTCATGCAGTGTTACCATCGCTCACACAGAATGATAGCCAGAGGTAAACCTGTGAATACCATTCTCCATGTAAACTGAGTGTTAGGCCAGTTATGCAAGGCACTACTGCTGTCACACTGACGACTCTGAGTTTTCAGTATACCCCAAGTTCCGTGTCTGAGTTTACATCGTATGTCTCACAGACATTGACTGGCTTTCAATTAACATTTTACTAACAACTATCCGCCTTCACATGACGGGTTTGTCATACGAAATGTTGTGTAATGTTTCTATGTAACTTATATACTGCATTATTAATTATTATTAATTAATATAGTATAATATTATTATAGTAATATAATAATTCCTTGTAGCCTTCTACCGCGTTCTGAGAGTTCCTGCGACGGCGCTGGAACCAATCGTATTGGCGTTTGTCTTTCCATTGGAGACTTTCGGCGCCGTGGAGAGGGTGGACCTGCTGCATGGGTGACAGCTTCTCCCCCATATCAACCTACCCTGGTTGAGGCCACTTGCGCCCTGGTGAGGTCTCTCCAGGCCGACAACCAGAGAGCGACTCCATCGTCTCCTGAGACTGATGGATGCCTACTAATACTGTTATATTAGTAATTAATATACTGCATATTTCTTCAGGTAAGTGCGGTTGCTAGCAGGTAAGAACTACACTGAGGGGGAAATACTGTCTCCCCGGGGCGCATGTGGACAGCAAGTGGAAAATATTCCTCTGTTTAGAGTGCTCTGTCTGTCTGTTTGTCTGTCTGTCTGTCTGTCAGTCTGTCTGTCTGTCTATTAATCATAACCTATTCATAGGCCTAAAAAAAAACGTTATTTAATTTAAATGATGTTTTATCATATTTCCAGCCAGGATTGTCTAGGATGGAGGCTAATAATGATGATATACGATAATATCTATCATTAATAATTCATTATTTGTATACACCAGAAATCTTATCTGGTGCGTTTAGAAAAAAATATGTAGTAATTTTTATGTGAAATATTAATTAAATAATTTATTCAGCACAATTGATCAACACAATATTGACATTAATACGCTTTAACTTGAATTATATTTATCAAAGTTACGTGCAAACAACAGACGTGGATTAACAAAAATAGTGCTTAATAATAAAGAAATATACATTTAATCTAATTACTAATGCATAAGAACGTGTGTGTGTGTAAAGTCGTTATCACGGAATAGTGTTTGATCTTACGTCAAGTTGGCAACACTCTGGCGCCGGGGCAAGCCACCACTGTCTCCAGCTTGGGGAAGCCAGTCGTCTTCCAGACACCGTGGAGGACACACGCACGAGAAATAAGCCTCAGGCCAAATACACTTGATCCTAAGACGCTATCACAATCAACCAGCGAATCAGGTTACTGCTTCCCGTTCGTCATTTTCAGTTCTCGTGGCGCAGTGGTAAGACACTCTCCCCAGCTATTCGCGAGCGATTTGGCGTGAATTCATATCCTGGCCGGGGAGGATTGATTAGGCGCCAATCCTTAACTGAACACCTCTGTTCACCCAGCAGTGAATGGGGTACCTGGTTGTTTAGCGATTTGGCGGGTCGTATTCCGGGGATAATTAAGATTAAGAACCTGCCCGAAACGCTATGCTTACTAGTGGCTGTACAGAATGTTAGAACACTTATGTGTGTGTGTGTGTGTGTATATATATATATATATATATATATATATATATATATATATATATATATATAACGGCCAACCTACTCATGAGAAACTCTCCAGACACAAAGCAGAACGCTTTAAAAGAGACCAATGTCGTCTATGCCTTCAAATGCCCACTTGGGGACTGTAAGCCTCAAAGAATTCAGTATATAGGCAAGACAACATCTCTTTCCAGGCGATTAACGTGTGGGAACCGACCTGTGAGATTTATATTTATTTAATTTATATGAATTTATATTTACGTTAATTTATATACTTCGATAGCAATTTGTATAATGATAAGTGGACTGTATTTCTGCAATAATCTCAATCTCACAAATCGATCCTCTACACATTAGGGGGGTTATTAAATTAATATATATGCAGCCAATCAAACTGCAGAATTAACTACATACATTGAAGAGGTTCCTTATCTTATAGTACAGCAGGTTAGTCCACCAGGTATAACTAGGGTGTAGACACCAAATTATCCTCTTTGAGGTAGCTTCCATATCACCCAGTAACTGGTGCACAAATCTTGCTTCCTCGTCTTGACCTGTCAAAAGTGCACTAGCTGTGAAGCCAGAATCCTATATATGACAAGTATATCAGAGAAAACACTATACAGTACATGGAACAATAAAGACCTGGCTTAATTACCTTTAGTATGAGGCGATTTCGCGTTCTAACCGGCTAACCCTACCCAATGACATTAATGGCCACTAATGATAGATAATGGGTTTCGGAAAGAACACTTAACTTGAATTTGTAGACAGCGTGTTGATAATGGTACACATTTAGTTTCCATAACACTTCGTCCAAGTAAAATTAACAGGAGCCGAATTTGCTCCTGTGTGAGCCTCTGGTCTAGTATAAACAATGGCTGCCCTCCTTCCTCACTCTGACGCCTGGCTTACATTGTCCACATGTCAGAAAGTGATAGAAGGGTCACATTTACTCTACTTTAATATTGATAATTAAGTTAATTTATATGAGATGTTTTATGATGGTAAAGTCCAAAGACTAATGTATTTAAGAATAATTCCCAGCAGAATAGCTGGTGAATTATAATAGTATGTGGTGATGATATCCCGTTTTCTATAGACGGTAATTCCACTACAAGTTACGTTTTCTATGGGTTACTTGTTGGTAATACAGCAGCAATTATCTGTATGATATATTAAATGGTGTCGGATTTTCCGACATCAGACTAGAAATAAAAATGAATTTTGGAGAACTGATTTTTCAATTACCATCAACAGTGAAAAGAAATATAAGAAATATTGAGAAAATTCGTACTTTTTCGGTCATATTTAATAATATATGTCTCCAGGAAAGACTGCTACCAAAATATACTAATATATATATATATATATATATTAGTATATTTTTAGATATATATATATATATATATATATATATATATATATATATATATATATATATATATATATATATATATATATATATATATATACATATATTATATATATATATATATATATATATATATATATACATAAATGTATACATAAATAAATTTTGAACATAGGCACGAGGCTAGGCCAGGGATAGTGTAGGCAGGACACCTCTACCCTGTGAAGTCAGCCAGCGTCACCTCAAGCAGAGACATCAGCTCCCACGTGCACTAATTACAGTATACAGTGCAGGAGTTACGTGCACTAACCACAGTATACAATGCAGGAGTTACGTGCACTAACCACAGTATACAATGCAGGAGTTACGTGCACTAACCACAGTATACAATGCAAGGGTTACGTGCACTAACCACAGTATACAATGCAGGAGTTACGTGCACTAACCACAGTATACAATGCAGGAGTTACGTGCACTAACCACAGTATACAATGCAGGAGTTACGTGCACTAACCACAGTATACAGTGCAGGAGTTACGTGCACTTACCACAGTATACAGTGCAGGAGTTACGTGCACTAACCACAGTATACAATGGTGGAGTTACGTGCACTAACCACAGTATACAATGCAGGAGTTACGTGCACTAACCACTGTATACAATGCAGGAGTTACGTGCACTAACCACAGTATACAGTGCAGGAGTTACGTGCACTAACCACAGTATACAGTGCAGGAATTACGTGCACTAACCACAGTATACAATGGTGGAGTTACGTGCACTAACCACAGTATACAATGCAGGAGTTACGTGCACTAACCACAGTATACAATGCAGGAGTTACGTGCACTAACCACCGTATACAATGCAGGAGTTACGTGCACTAACCACAGTATACAATGCAGGAGTTACGTGCACTAACCACAATATACAATGCAGGAGTTACGTGCACTAACCACAGTATACAATGGAAGGGATACGTGCACTAACCACAGTATACAATGCAGGAGTTACGTGCACTAACCACAGTATACAATGCAGGAGTTACGTGCACTAACCACAGTATACAATGCAGGAGTTACGTGCACTAACCACAGTATACAGTGCAGGAGTTACGTGCACTAACCACAGTATACAGTGCAGGAGTTACGTGCACTAACCACAGTATACAATGGTGGAGTTACGTGCACTAACCACAGTATACAATGCAGGAGTTACGTGCACTAACCACAGTATACAATGCAGGAGTTACGTGCACTAACCACAGTATACAGTGCAGGAGTTACGTGCACTAACCACAGTATACAATGCAGGAGTTACGTGCACTAACCACCGTATACAATGCAGGAGTTACGTGCACTAACCACCGTATACAATGCAAGAGTTACGTGCACTAACCACCGTATACAATGCAAGAGTTACGTGCACTAACCACAGTATACATGGAAGGGTTACGTGCACTAACCACAGTATACAATGCAGGAGTTACGTGCACTAACCACAGTATACAATGCAGGAGTTACGTGCACTAACCACAGTATACAATGCAGGAGTTACGTGCACTAACCACAGTATACAATGCAGGAGTTACGTGCACTAACCACAGTATACAATGCAGGAGTTACGTGCACTAACCACAGTATACAATGCAGGAGTTACGTGCACTAACCACAGTATACAATGCAGGAGTTACGTGCACTAACCACAGTATACAATGCAGGAGTTACGTGCACTAACCACAGTATACAATGCAGGAGTTACGTGCACTAACCACAGTATACAATGCAGGAGTTACGTGCACTAACCACCGTATACAATGCAGGAGTTACGTGCACTAACCACCGTATACAATGCAGGAGTTACGTGCACTGTATACAATGGAGTTACGTGCACTAACCACAGTATACAATGCAGGAGTTACGTGCACTAACCACAGTATACAATGCAGGAGTTACGTGCACTAACCACAGTATACAATGCAGGAGTTACGTGCACTAACCACAGTATACAATGCAGGAGTTACGTGCACTAACCACAGTATACAATGCAGGAGTTACGTGCACTAACCACAGTATACAATGCAGGAGTTACGTGCACTAACCACCGTATACAATGCAGGAGTTACGTGCACTAACCACCACAGTATACAATGCAGGAGTTACGTGCACTAACCACAGTATACAATGCAGGAGTTACGTGCACTAACCACCGTATACAATGCAGGAGTTACGTGCACTAACCACAGTATACAATGCAGGAGTTACGTGCACTAACCACAGTATACAATGCAGGAGTTACGTGCACTAACCACAGTATACAATGCAGGAGTTACGTGCACTAACCACAGTATACAATGCAGGAGTTACGTGCACTAACCACAGTATACAATGCAGGAGTTACGTGCACTAACCACCGTATACAATGCAGGAGTTACGTGCACTAACCACCGTATACAATGCAGGAGTTACGTGCACTAACCACAGTATACAATGCAGGAGTTACGTGCACTAACCACAGTATACAATGCAGGAGTTACGTGCACTAACCACAGTATACAATGCAGGAGTTACGTGCACTAACCACAGTATACAATGCAGGAGTTACGTGCACTAACCACAGTATACAATGCAGGAGTTACGTGCACTAACCACAGTATACAATGCAGGAGTTACGTGCACTAACCACCGTATACAATGCAGGAGTTACGTGCACTAACCACAGTATACAATGCAGGAGTTACGTGCACTAACCACAGTATACAATGCAGGAGTTACGTGCACTAACCACAGTATACAATGCAGGAGTTACGTGCACTAACCACAGTATACAATGCAGGAGTTACGTGCACTAACCACCGTATACAATGCAGGAGTTACGTGCACTAACCACCGTATACAATGCAGGAGTTACGTGCACTAACCACCGTATACAATGCAGGAGTTACGTGCACTAACCACAGTATACAATGCAGGAGTTACGTGCACTAACCACAGTATACAATGCAGGAGTTACGTGCACTAACCACAGTATACAATGCAGGAGTTACGTGCACTAACCACAGTATACAATGCAGGAGTTACGTGCACTAACCACAGTATACAATGCAGGAGTTACGTGCACTAACCACAGTATACAATGCAGGAGTTACGTGCACTAACCACAGTATACAATGCAGGAGTTACGTGCACTAACCACCACAGTATACAATGCAGGAGTTACGTGCACTAACCACAGTATACAATGCAGGAGTTACGTGCACTAACCACAGTATACAATGCAGGAGTTACGTGCACTAACCACAGTATACAATGCAGGAGTTACGTGCACTAACCACAGTATACAATGCAGGAGTTACGTGCACTAACCACCGTATACAATGCAGGAGTTACGTGCACTAACCACAGTATACAATGCAGGAGTTACGTGCACTAACCACAGTATACAATGCAGGAGTTACGTGCACTAACCACAGTATACAATGCAGGAGTTACGTGCACTAACCACAGTATACAATGCAGGAGTTACGTGCACTAACCACAGTATACAATGCAGGAGTATACAATGCAGGAGTTACGTGCACTAACCACCGTATACAATGCAGGAGTTACGTGCACTAACCACAGTATACAATGCAGGAGTTACGTGCACTAACCACCGTATACAATGCAGGAGTTACGTGCACTAACCACCGTATACAATGCAGGAGTTACGTGCACTAACCACCGTATACAATGCAGGAGTTACGTGCACTAACCACAGTATACAATGCAAGAGTTACGTGCACTAACCACCGTATACAATGCAGGAGTTACGTGCACTAACCACAGTATACAATGCAGGAGTTACGTGCACTAACCACCGTATACAATGCAGGAGTTACGTGCACTAACCACAGTATACAATGCAGGAGTTACGTGCACTAACCACCGTATACAATGCAGGAGTTACGTGCACTAACCACCGTATACAATGCAGGAGTTACGTGCACTAACCACCGTATACAATGCAGGAGTTACGTGCACTAACCACAGTATACAATGCAGGAGTTACGTGCACTAACCACAGTATACAATGCAGGAGTTACGTGCACTAACCACAGTATACAATGCAGGCGCCTGTCAGTCCCTTAGACACAACCAGTCTCTCTAATTTGTGTTGTGAGGCAGAGTGCTTCACGAGACCCCGGGGTGGGCTCAACACGCCCATCCTGCCCACTGAGGATATGCCTCATCTCCCGCTAGCGAGAGAGCATCCCTTGCTAGGATGTATTGATCTACTTGGTCACTGTACCTCGGTTATGTAGCCAGAGACTTAACTAACGAAGGTCAGGAACGATCAAGTACTATTTTAAGTCTCTTAAAATCGTGTTCATGGGGCCCGCAGGAGCGAAGAACAGGTATTGTCTTTCTCATTACAGCCAACCACTTGGGCTGGACGGTAGAGCGTCGGTCTCGCTTCATGCAGGTCGGTGTTCAATCCCCGACCGTCCAAGTGGTTGGGCACCATTCCTTTCCTCAGTCCCATCCCAAATCCTTATCCTGACCCCTTCCCAGGGCTATATAGTCGCAGTGGCTTAGCGCTTTCTCCTTGATACTTCCCTTCCCTTCCCATTCTCATTACAGGTTTACCAGGGAAACCTGCCTGAAGGCTGGGTTGAGAGAGTACATTATCTATGGAAACCTGTCCGTCCCCCTGTACTAATGTTTACAACCTCCTGTACCCGTTCCTCACCTGTCCGTCCTATCCACTAACATTCTCATCTTCCTACATCCTCATCCTCATTCCCTCGTCCCAGACAGCCCCGTCCACCCGCCTCCGTCCCTCCATCATGATTGAATTTCTCAGTTCTTCATAACCAAATATTTTCCTCACTTTATTTCCTCCCCTTCCTATATTATATAAACGATCCATTTATATTTCTCCTATTCCCCATCTTCGCAATTTTCTGACATTTTCTCCTTTCTGCTCCTCTCCCAATACATCTTTCATCACACTCTCCCTTCTCCTGTCTCCCAGCATCACCTCACAAAGCTATCTCCTCGGGGTCTCCTCCTGTGCACCTGTAGACCAGAAGAATGCGGTGTCCACCATGAGCACATCTCACCCTCAGTGAGTCTGGCACGAGGACACCGAATATTTACCCAAGAGAGGGAAGAGTCCTCCACCAACGGCAGATTTCTGAAGCGAAATAATGTTTTGGGAAAAATAGAAAGATTCCTCAGAGGGAGAAAAAAGTGTCTTAGCACAGACGAAGATTTTTTGGAGAAAATACTTGTTACACAATTGGCAATTTTTTTTCAAGTTTTAAAAATGAGTTTAAGATGAAATTCTCAATCAAATGAATGATATCCTTAATGAAAGGATAATTTCCATGCAAAATAATATACCATTCAAAACGAAAACTGAAGAGCTATTGAAACGTTTTTCTTACTCGAAGGAGCAGTAAAAATATAGATAACATTGACTATTTTGAGATTTATAGCGCATGATAAAAATAATACCTGTCTTCAAAAGTGGAAATGTGATGTCTTGCTGAAGAAAAGACATTGTAGTTCGTTTCCTGGATAAGAGGAAATTTTATGGAGGATACTCCACAGGAAAGAGATGTATATATAGGGGAGATGTGTCATGATAAATGAAAACTTGTCTTGGAGGAAGGAGGGAGTGTCTTGGAGGAAGGGGGATGTCTTGGAGGAAGGAGGGATGTCTTGGAGGATGGAGGGATGTCTTGGAGGAAGAAGACATGCCTTGGAGGAAGAAGACATGCCTTGGAGGAAGGAGGGATGTCTTGGAGGAAGAAGACATGCCTTGGAGGAAGGAGGGATGTCTTGGAGGAAGAAGACATGCCTTGGAGGAAGAAAACATGCCTTGGAGGAAGAAGACATGCCTTGGAGGAAGGAGGGATGTCTTGGAGGAAGAAGACATGCCTTAGAGGAAGAAGACATGCCTTGGAGGAAGAAGACATGCCTTGGAGGAAGGAGGGATGTCTTGGAGGAAGAAGACATGCCTTGGAGGAAGAAGACATGCCTTGGAGGAAGGAGGGATGTCTTGGAGGAAGAAGACATGCCTTAGAGGAAGAAGACATGCCTTGGAGGAAGGAGGGATGTCTTGGAGGAAGAAGACATGCCTTGGAGGAAGGAGGGATGTCTTGGAGGAAGAAGACATGCCTTGGAGGAAGGAGGGATGTCTTGGAGGAAGAAGACATGCCTTAGAGGAAGAAGACATGCCTTGGAGGAAGGAGGGATGTCTTAGAGGAAGAAGACATGCCTTGGAGGAAGGAGGGATATCTTGGAGGAAGCAGGGATATCTTGGTGTAGGAGGGAGATCTTGAAGGTACAAAAGACGTCATGAAAGTAGGATTTTTTTTTAATGAAAGAGGGATGTCATGGAGGAAGACCAGATATCTTGGAGAAAGGACATGTGTCTTGAAGGAAGAATTAAGTGATATCTTGGAGGAAAGACAAATGTGTTGGAGGAAAAAGAGACGTGTTGGAGGAAGACAGGATGTCTAGGAGGAAGGAGGGACATCTTGGAGGAATGAGGAAAGGATTTAATAATGGAGGGACGTCTTGGAGGAAGGAGGATGTCACTAATGTTGGAGGAAGTAATCAAGGTGGGACTGACAGCATGTTATCAACAATCAGCTACAGTACCGAACACTGGGTAACTCTTGACCCATTAATGTCCGATAACTAGTTTAATAATACAGTCAAAGACTTAGAGAGAGGAAGCACAGAAAGAATGAAGGCTGAAAAGTCGGAAAACTCAGAGAAAAATGTAAAATAACTCGAAAATTTAGGTAATTTTCTCTACTAAAATTTCATTTAAGCCTCTGGATACCAAACATTTGCTCTGAGGTCCAAATTCCGAGTCCAAAGCCGCGTCGCGAGGGTATTTTCCAATATATCTGTCCTGGGAAGCCAATTCCAGTTTATAGTGTTGTTGTTGGAAGTAGTGCTCCCTGAACATGCTGAAGTTGGGTGAAATAACCGGTGCTGGAGGCCGAGTGTGGTGGGGAGGGCGGTGGAGCAATGGATGCGACGCTGTTCGTCTCTCGAGACATAAGTGGCGAAGAAAGTTTCGGACCTGACTCTGGCGCCCTTCAGTTGCTCAGTCTCAACTATCAAAAAAACACTGGTCCAAGTATGCGAAAAAATACATGTGAAAATAGAGAATGCTAAACGCGTTTTCGGCCCAATTCCCCTTCATCAGAGCAAAACAGATTGAAGAAGAAAACGTGGTAGGCAGACCTTTTAATCCGCCAAGGAAGGTCACCTGACCACCAAGATAGGGGGTATGAAACCTATGCATAAAAGGGGAAGAAAAAGGCGAAGGAAAAGGGGAAAATATTTGCCCCTTTTAAAATATTTGTTGACCTAGGTAATCAGGTAGGATTTCCTTCACCAGGTTGTCAGTTGCCACTGAAGAGGACAGGAACGCTGGTACAGCCATTTGTGTTGCTGTGATGCGAACGCCGAGGCCCTCAAGTTTAACATTACACACACACACACACACACACACACACACACACACACACACACACACACACACACACACACACACACACACACACACATATATATATATATATATATATATATTAGTATATTTTGGTAGCAGTCTTTCCTGTAGACATATATTATTAAATATGACCGAAAAAGTAAGATTAATAATTCTAACACGAATTTTCTCAATCTTTCGTACATTACACTTCACTGTTGGAGGTAAATCAAAAATCAATTCTCCAAAATTCATTTTTATTTCTAGTCTGACGCGACACGGGCGCGTTTCGTAAAACTTATTACATTTTCAAAGACTTTTAGTTCACAAATACACAACTGAATAGAACTTACGTATCTCCGATTTTATATCTACATTTGAGTGAGGTGGGAGGGGTGATGTGGCATTAACACAAGACAGAACAAAAGGGGATATTAATAGGGTATTAAAAGTATCAACACAAGACAGAACACAAACAATGGGTATTGAATAGAAGTGTTTGTAGAAAGCCTATTGGTCCATATTTCTTGATGCTTCTATATTGGAGCGGAGTCTTGAGGTGGGTAGAATATAGTTGTGCAATAATTGGCTGTTGATTGCTGGTGTTGACTTCTTGATGTGTAGTGCCTCGCAAACGTCAAGCCGCCTGCTATCGCTGTATCTATCGATGATTTCTGTGTTGTTTACTAGGATTTCTCTGGCGATGGTTTGGTTGTGGGAAGAGACCCACATATCAACCATCCCACAACCAAACCATCGCCAGAATAGAATCCTAGTAAACAACACAGAAATCATCGATAGATACAGCGATAGCAGGCGGCTTGACGTTTGCGAGGCACTACACATCAAGAAGTCAACACCAGCAATCAACAGCCAATTATTGCACAACTATATTCTACCCACCTCAAGACTCCGCTCCAATATAGAAGCATCAAGAAATATGGACCAATAGGCTTTCTACAAACACTTCTATTCAATACCCATTGTTTGTGTTCTGTCTTGTGTTGATACTTTTAATACCCTATTAATATCCCCTTTTGTTCTGTCTTGTGTTAATGCCACATCACCCCTCCCACCTCACTCAAATGTAGATATAAAATCGGAGATACGTAAGTTCTATTCAGTTGTGTATTTGTGAACTAAAAGTCTTTGAAAATGTAATAAGTTTTACGAAACGCGCCCGTGTCGCGTCAGACTAGAAATAAAAATGAATTTTGGAGAATTGATTTTTGATTTACCTCCAACAGTGAAGCGTAATGTACGAAAGATTGAGAAAATTCGTGTTAGAATTATTAATCTTACTTTTTCGGTCATATTTAATAATATATATATATATATATATATATATATATATATATATATATATATATATATATATATATATATATATATATATATTTTTTTTTTTTTTTTTTAAACCTAGAAGGGGTACCACCTCTGGTGCAAGTGTAGGGACCCATAGCCTCGGAGAAGAAAATAAAGAGTACTCAGAGAAGACTTTGTGGATCCTCACTGAACACTTTGATATTTTCTTCTCCTACCACCCCTATTCTTTTGTTAAGTGTGTATATTTATCTAACTATATATATATATAAACAATTTTATTTACGTTTTTGAAAATAAAATTAGCATCGTTTGTTGCATTAATGTCATTCCGTTTTAGGATATCAGTGGATTGATCACCAGATAACTGGTCATAATACATTAATTTAAAACATATAACCTGAGGGTGATTGGTCATCACATGCTGGCCAAGTAACACAGTAACATGAGAAAACTATTGCTGTTATAGTTCCATATATGGGGGCCTATAGTACCATATATAGTACCATATGGGGCCTCGTAGCCTGGTGGATAGCGCGCAGGACTCGTAATTCTGTGGCGCGGGTTCGATTCCCGTACGAGGCAGAAACAAATGGGCAAAGTTTCTTTCACCCTGAATGCCCCTGTTACCTAGCAGTAAATAGGTACCTGGGAGTTAGTCAGCTGTCACGGGCTGCTTCCTGGGGGTGGAGGCCTGGTCGAGGACCGGGCCACGGGGACACTAAAAGCCCCGAAATCATCTCAAGATAACCTCAAGATATATTAATAAAACAAGAATGTTGTACACAACTTTTATATATATGGTCTGTTGCTAAAAACAAAGAAACTAAGGTGTTCGGAGATTAAGAAAGATGTTAGCTTATTAAATCATATTAGAATTCATTACAAATGCTGAACCCATCGTTCTTGCTTTTTATTAGGTATATCTTGAAAAAGTTTGGAGTTTTGCTCAACCTTCTCACCTTTTATCTCACATTAGTCTCCCCGTCTCTCTTCTCTTTAAGAAGGGCCTCCTACTATGTCAAAGGGACATAGACTTGTATTTTCCAACGATGCTTTCTTTTTTTATTGATGTCCAAACAAAATATTTATATATTATCCAATTTGTTCAATGATTCCTGGATGCAATGTTCTTCTATTTCGTAACCGTCACGGTACTGTTCTCTGTTCGAGCCTAAACCTGATATCCCTTGTCAAGTTTACTCGTAAGATGTTTGAGCAACATTAAAATTGTTGGTCAGAAACTTTGATCATGAAAATACGAAAACCTATAATTTCTCGATATATAACTTTATATATACTGTTACGGTATCTGGAATATCTTGAAACACCCCGTTATCTGCAGTCCATTGTAACACTCCCTTACCCACAGTCCACTGTAACACCCCCTTACCCACAGTCCACTGTAACACTCCCTTACCCACAGTCCACTGTAACACTACCTTACCCACAGGCCACTGTAACACCTCCCTTACCCACAGTCCACTGTAACACCTCCCTTACCCACAGTCAACTGTAACACTCCCTTACCCACAGGCCACTGTATCACTACCTTACCCACAGGCCACTGTAACACTACCTACCATCACACCCACTCTCTCTCTCATGTAGACCTACACACAAGCAACAAGAAAATGGGAAGTATGAATATAGATAAAAGCAAACTATACTTTTGTTACGATGTTTAACTAGTTTGTTCTATAGTCCAAAATGGCGCTAAGCGA